AAACCTCCAAACCCTTTCTTCGTCTTCGTCGTGCTCGCTCCTCGACTTTGCCCAACTCCTTAGCTTGTCGTTGCCGTTGCTCGTCGTGCGCCTTGTCGTTGCCGTTGCCGGTTCCTCGCCGTCGTCAACTCCCCAGCCACGCCGTCGTCGTGCCCGTGCCGCCTCAAGCCCTGCTCCACTTTGCCCTCGTCCACCTCACCCTCGCCGTTCGCCGTTGTTGCCTAGCCTCGCCGTCTGCATTGCCTCGCCGCCTCGAGCCCTGCTCCACTTCAAATATATAAGCTTTTGAATCAGTTATTACCAAATAACCGATTCAAAAGCCTCTTCCCAGAAATGGCGCCATTTCTGGTAAGAGGCTTTTGCATCGGTTTTACAACCGATGTAAAAAGTAACCTCAGTATTTGCATCGCTGGCTTTTACATTGGTTTAAAACCGATTTAAAAGGGTCTTAAAAAGTCTTTTTTGTAGTAGTGTGCATGAATGATATGCTAATGAATGAAATTAATCTAGTGCAATGAACAACTAAAATAAAATGTAGTGTGTAAAATAAAAGCAAGTTTAGGTTAGATATTTAATATCAACCATGCAAATTGCCAATGAACAAGAGAAAATGAAAAATCATCTAGCAATACTACAAAAACGACCAAATAAATCCCCCACATTTAATTTGCATCGTTAAGCAAAACAAACGATGTAAATGGGAAAAACAATTCGCGTACCGCTTATTTTTTTGATCGGTTATTCCTAATAACTGATTCAAAAGGTATTTGAATCAGTTATTATGAATAACCGATCCAAAATCGGGAAATAATTTCCTTGATATGACTCCACTTCCATGGTGCCCATCTCAAGAGAATCAAAAAAGAGCTGAAACAAGTGATAAATAGAATCAAAAAATATTTCACTCTCCATTTAAGAAAAAATTTGAATATTTGAAATGCTAAAATCTACCATTGGTCCTTCAACTTTATGAGTTCTGCATGATTGGTTCTTCAAGTTTCAAAAATCCATGAATAGTCCTTCAACTTTATGAGTTGTGTACGATTGGTCCTTCAAATTTTAAAAGTCTATAAGTAGTCTTTCTAGTACACGTCTATGCTCCAGATGAGGTTTTTTGACAGCAAACATGAGCTAAATGTAATACTAGTTCCATATCTATACATTATTTAAAAAGACATGAATTTTTTCCCGCCCATGCATGACACTCATATATGGAAAGTGTTGACAACATAAATGGTAGTTTAATTATTTTACCTTAATGTTTTCCTTCCATTTTAAGTATGTTTTCATTTTTATTTTTATTTAAATGTTACACCATTTAAGCATTTAAATTAAATTAAATTAAATAGTAGTGAACCATTGGGGAATTGAAGTATGGAAATAAAATACACTGCCATTTAAATATTAAAATAAAATTTAAAAATTACAAATTAATAAAGTATGGACAGGATTAAAATGATTTATTTCAAACAAACTACAAATTAATTATTTATCATTAAAAAATATTATAATTTACAAGCACAAACGCGTAAAAGGGTAAGTTTTCTAAAATAGATTAGAATATAAATATGGTACGGTTAGTAGATGATAACATTTAAATAAAAGAATAAAATAAAAAACTACAAATTAATATTAATACTATAATTTAAAAGAATGGAAACGTTTTAAAAATGACAAATGTTCTAATTAGAAAATAAATAGATATGGTATGGTAAGCAATTAGCACCATTTTAAAACGAAAATAAAATAAATGGTAAGTTTTCAAAAATAAATTAGGTCAGTGAACTAAAATAAAAGAGAAAATAAAATACTCCCTCTGTCCCCAATTTGATTACAAATTGCGGATTACGGAGTAAAATTTCTTACTTTTTGAAATCATTTTATTTACAAATTGATATATCAATAAGATATAAAAATTACATATTAAACAACTATGTCAAAAGTTCTACAAAACAAGAAGTGATAAGACTATTTTATTTTATCAAATACTTAATGAAATCGCGTAAACAAACAAAAGTTATCGAGAGAAGAGAGAGAAAAATTGTACTCCGTAATCTATTTAGGACAGAGAGAGTACATCTAAAAATGATAAGTGTTCTAAAATAAATTAGAAAATAATGTGGTTTGGTAAGTAATTAGTACGATTTAAATACGAAAATAAAATAAAAAACTGCAAAATTAATATTAATGCTATACTTTAAAAACATGTTTTTTTTGAAAAGGTAAGTGTTCAAATTAGAAAATTAGAAAATAAATACGGAATGGTATGTCACCACGATAAGCAAATGGTACCATTTAAACACAAAATAAAATAAATGGTAAGTGTTCTAAAATAAATTAGGTAAGTGTTCTAAATAAATTAGAAAATAAAATAATTATTAAAACGATAAGTATTCTAAAATATATTAGAAATAAATACGGTACGGTAAGTAAATGATACTATTTAAATAAAAAAATAGAAAACTACAAAATAATACTATCAATTAATACTACAATTTACAAGCATGGTAACGTGTAAAAATGGTAAGTGTTATAAAATAAATTAAAAAATAAATATGGTACATTAAGCAAATGGTACAATTTAAATGCAAAATTTAAAAAATTATAAATTAATACTATTAATACTATAAGCATGGAAACATGTAACAATGGTATAAGTATTTTAAAATAAATACTATTAATACTATATTTTACAAGCATGGATACGTGTAAAAATTGTAAGTGATCTAAAATAAAATAGAAAATAAATATAATAGGGTAAGTTAATGGTACCACTTAAATACGAAAATAAAATTAAAAAATACAAATTCCAAAATAAATACATTAATATGTTGAATTATTGCTTAGATAAGTCAAATTATTGAATTATTTTCAAGAGCAATATCTGAAACATATTGAATTATTGTTACGGAAACTGGTATTTAGTCATGAGAAAGTGTATGTTGTAGTTTAAAGAGTAATAAATCACAATGGCTTGAAGATTCTGATATACAACGAAGTGAATACTCACACAAATTATACATACGAGTGATAGATGTAGTTTATAAATGAGTCTTTCGAAATTTGTAAATCATTTTACTTTTGTGCTTTAAAATAATGAAATCTCTATATTCCATTATATACCAATTTATATTCCTAAAAATGATCTTAAGTTAATACCGTAACTATGATCCGTGCAACGCACGGGTGTGATACTAGTAATACGAGTAAGTTCCACTAGGTATGACTACTCTGTATTATATGGAACTAGTACTCCATTTAGCTTTTTAACATTTATCGTCAAAAGAACATTATCTGGAGTGCTGACGTGTACTTGAAAGATTACTTATGAATTTTTGAAACTTGAAGCACCAATCGTGCATAACTCATAAAGTTGAAGGACTTTATGAACTTTTGCAACTTGAAGGACCAATCGTGCACAACTGATAAAGTTGAAAGACGAATAATGAAGTTTAGCCTATTTCAAATTATTTATTTTTTGTCAACTTATCTGCATAAATTTCTATCACACAATTTGAATTTTTCTTATATTTCATATACTCCCTTCGTCGCTGAGTATTTGTCTACTTTTGACTTTTTTCGATCAAAATTGGGTTTTTACTTCAAATTAAATAAAAATAGTACTCCCTCCGTTTGGAAAAAGTGTTCCTCTTTTGACTTTGTGTAAAAATAAGGAAGTATTAAATTGTAGTTGACTTCCAATTTTGCCCTTGATGTGATAGATAAAAGTAAGATGTGATGGATAGATTATTAGAGATAAAGTATGATGTGATAGGTAGGGTATGAAAAAGTAAGGGTAAAAGTGGTTTTTTTATAGAAAGAGGAAGTGTTTTGTTGGAAGTGAAAAAAATGAAAGAGGAAGTATTTTTGAAAACGGATGGAGTATTAGATATTGATACATGAATAATTTTATTAGATTTATTACATCAAATATCTTCAAAATACTCCATATTTTAATTAATTAATATAGAATATATATTTTATTTAATACGGAGTAATAGATCAAAGATTAAAACCTACAAAAGTTAAAACCAAACAAAAACAAATAGGGAGGAGGTGGTATAAAATTCAAACAATGCGATTAATTTGGGAACCATCCATATTTCGTGGAGGGAGTATAGTTCTATATTTTTCTCTCATACAACTGGGAACGTAACATACCGTTCGACGTGGAACCACGCCAGCGGAGACGACGGCGATATTCATGGCCTCCATCGCCGGCTTCAGCACAACCGGAGCCTCCCCCGGCCGCCGCCGGGACAGGTTAGGATTCATTGTCTCGAAGCAAATGATCCGCTCAAAACAATCCCTGATCCCAAGCCGATCCAGCACTTTCACGGCGTGAACTCTATCGGAATTCGTAAAAATCTATATGGAATAATCAATCGCAAAATTATCCCTTGGTTCTCCCTCCATATAAATGGAGGAAGTTGAAGGGTTTCACATCCGATGTGAGATACATGGGTTTTTCCCCTTTCAAGTGAGTAACTTTGTGAATTAATTTCTCATTCACCCGAACACTAATTTTGGCGCACAATATATCGAAATACTCGTCTAACTTTTAATAATATTCGTCCATAATTATTTTAGAAAAATAATTTTGTGGACCCTGCCAAATTTACGTCTAAAGTTGTTGTCCCGATATGTGTCAATATTCCAACGCTCGTTTCGTGTGTCAATGTAAATATGTAATGTCATTGGGACGATCCTTGCCTTAGCGCCTAGCTAATTCTATGTCCGATCGAATCGTCACTTTTATTATTGTGTTGGGATCGTCGAACAAGATTTTGATGACGAAGTCATTAGATGACAATGTCATCCAATCAAGAGGTTGTTCGATACTCGGTTATTTGATAACGACGTAATCTAATCGCAAACATCCGACGGCAATAGCGTTTGATGCTTAGGTCGTCCGATGACAGAGTCATTGTCAAGGTTTGGATGACGAAGACATTCAAATTTGAGTGATTATTGGTACGGAGTACATGCCATAATGGGACAATCGTGCCATTGTATTATTCAACCTAGTGAACGGATGCATACATGCAGATACATTATTGAAATGCATCACAATTATATTGACATATTTATATAGAGGAATTATAGATACATATTTACGGAGGCAAATACCACAAATGTCGCAACAATTGTAAACTAAAAGTAAACACGTTCATTTATGTCCGTGCCCGAATCGACATGAATGTTCATGTTTGTCTTTCGTGTACAATTGTTGGGGTCCATCCTCCAACAATTAGTTGAATTAGGCACCCACACTTGTGGATGCAAGAAATGATGAGTCCATTTCGTTGTTTCTGGTGCAATTAGTACTCGCCATTACTTTGTCGTCATCCACCTCTTTATTGCCTATGAACCAAATTTCTGGTATGACGCGTATTAGGTCGCTCACTTTCTCCAGCGCATAATCGCATTCTTTACTTGTCCTCTTCGATGTGCCAACCTGCGATCCAAATTTTAAAAAAAAAACACCACAATTATATTCACACAGTATAAATAATTAATCCTGGAAATTTGGAAGCAAACGAAAATAAAAAGATTTTTCTTTGTTTCTGATATCATTTGATAATAATAGGTTTTTATTAAATAATGAAAATTTCATCTTTATATATAAAAAATAAAAATAGTAGATTAATTTAAATTCCTCCGTCCATTAATTTCTTTCTCATTTTTCCTTTTGGCCTGTCCAAATTATTTCTTTCTCGTTTCCTATTTTGGCAAAAAAAATTCTAATGAATGTGTCATTATCTTCTTACTTTTTCTCTACACTATTTACTTTATTCCGATCCATCACATCAAGGACAACATGTGGAGAGTCTTTACATCTTTTAACTTTTATTATTTTTCGTGTCAAGTCAAAATGAAAAAGAAATTTTTGGACGGAGGGAGTATATTAACAATAGAATAAGTAAAGTATGTAATACGGGTGAGTTTTGGAGATATGATAAAATATGAGTTTTGAAATTTTGGAGAAAAAAATATACTCCGGGTATAAGTTTTGGAAATTGTTTGGTGAAATTTAAAATTGTGATTTAATTGGTGGTAGCCGGGAGTGACCGATAACGGGTGTTGTTGGTGGAGACAATGATAGTCGATGACAAAGAATGGTCAACGGTTGAGAGATATATATATCTCCAAAACTCGAGAGATAGCAAAACTCTCTACATTTATAGGTATTTTATATTTGGACATCAAATTCGATATCACTTTTTGTTTCACCTAATATATATAAAAAATTCTAATATGTGAAGATATGTAAATTTATACGGATTATCTCTTCTTTTGCTCAGCACACAAACCCTTAGGCCCTGTTTGGTACACGGAATTCAAATTATGGAATTGGAATTGAGGACTTCAATTCTAATTCTGGTGTTTGGTAGTACAAAAATTATGTGTATTTGGAATTGATAGTATAAAAAATGAATTAGAATTGGTAGGATTCAATTCTATGGAATTGAGTTCAATGGAATTTCAATTCCAATTCAATTCAAATTCCGTCAATTCCGTATACCAAACGGATCCTTAATAATTTCCTCACAAATATAGAAGAATTCCAGCTAGTTTTCTTTTCTTTTAGCCTCTTTTGTTTTTTCTTTCTTTTTTTTTTGTCTTTGAAATTAGAACATTCTCCGTCTATGTAATACCGAGTATAATTGAGCACTTATTTTAAGCTTCCAGTCGTGCAGTTGGGTAGTTGACACGTCACACAATTGGTTTAATGTTCAAACCACGTTAGGTACTATCCAACTGTCACTGTACAACACAATAAGCTAAGATCACAAGGTGGATTATTGTTTTTTTTATTTTTAATATGACAGAGAATGATTTTTTTTAATTGATAATGAGAATGGAGGTTAATTCTTAAAAAAATACGGAGTAGAACTTTTTTTTTGCTTTGGTGAGAAAAATAAGTGATTATTTAAAGAGTGTTTGATAGTCCCTAAAAAGAGTAAAGACTCACTACTTACCAAAGCTGTTCGAAGCCCAATAGCATTTCCAGCAACTATGTTCTGGATGTTGTCATCAAAAAAGAGCTGAAACAAGTGATAAATAGAATCAAAAAATATTTCACTCTCCATTTAAGAAGAAAAATGAATATTTGAAACGCTAAAATCTATCATTGGTCCTTCAACTTTATGACTTCTGCATGATTGGTTCTTCAAGTTTCAAAAATCTATGAATAGTCCTTCAACTTTATGAGTTGTGTACGATTGGTCCTTCAAATTTTAAAAGTTCATAAGTAGTCTTTCTAGTACACGTCTGTCCTCCAGATGAGGTTTTTGACAGCAAACATGAGCTAAATGTAATATTAGTTCCATATAATACGAGTAAGTTCCACTAGGTATGACTACTCCGTATTATATGGAACTAGTACTCCATTTAGCTTTTTAACATTTATCGTCAAAAGAACATTATCTGGAGTGTTGACGTGTACTTGAAGGATTACTTATGGATTTTTGAAACTTGAAGCACCAATCGTGCATAACTCATAAAGTTGAAGGACTTTATGAACTTTTGAAACTTCAAAGACCAATCGTGCACAACTGATAAAGTTGAAAGACGAATAATGAAGTTGAGCCTATTTCAAATTATTTATTTTTTTTCAACTTATCTGCATAAATTTCTATCACACAATTTGAATTTTTCTTATATTTCATATACTCCCTTCGTCGCTGGGTATTTGTCTACTTTTGACTTTTTTCGGTTAAAATTAGTTTTTTTTACTTCAAATTAAATAAAAATGGCATTAGATATTGATACAAGAATAATTGTATTAGATTTATTACATCAAATATCTTCAAAATACTCCATATTTTAATTAATTAATATAGAATATATATTTTATTTAATACAGAGTAATAGATCAAAGATTAAAACCTACAAAAGTTAATACCAAACAAAAACAAATAGGGAGGATGTGGTATAAAATTCAAACAATGCGTTTAATTTGGGAACCTTCCATAATTCGTGGAGGGAGTATAGTTCTATATTTTTCTCTCATACAACTGGGAACGTAACATACCGTTCGACGTGGAACCACACCAGCGGAGACGACGGCGATATTCATGGCCTCCATCGCCGGCTTCAGCACAACCGGAGCCTCCCCCGGCCGCCGCCGGGACAGGTTAGGATTCATTGTCTCGAAGCAAATGATCCGCTCAAAACAATCCCTGATTCCAAGCCGATCCAGCACTTTCACGGCGTGAACTCTATCGGAATTCGTAAAAATCTATATGGAATAATCAATCGCAAAATTATCCCCACCCATTCCAATTCAATTCAATCAATATTCAGAGAAATAATCGCAGCAATTGACTCACAATTTTGCGTTGATGGATTTTAAGCAACAGGTTTCTCAAATCAGAGTCTGGTTCAATCAAATGGTAAGGTAATCTCCCGTGGACGAAACTATCCAAAAAATGCAAATTCATAACAATAGATTCCACATTTCATTTCTAAAAAAACTGCAATTCTTAATCGAAAAAATAATTTTTTTAAAAAAAATTATTTTCTCCTCACCTGTGATATTCATCAGCATCAATATCATGCCCTAACGCCTGAAATGCAAAGTATTTTATTTTTTCGGAGAAAAAAATCAAACAATTTCAAATCCAGGACGAAGAGAGTGTTATAGTTGTACTCGTAATCCGGCGAGAGAGCTCCCGTATTTTCTAAAGAGCTCGATGCGCAGAGCCGAAGCTTCGGATTCTGAGAATCCGAATTTCTCCATTATAAAATCTAGTTTTTAAAAAAAACAGAAAAATTAAACTCGGTAATTACAGAAACTGCAAATTGAGCTCGGATCACCGTAGATCGGTAAAGGAAACAGAAAACAAAAATCTAACCGTCAATGTTCTTCTTCAGTGCTTGTCCGATTCCGATCTTAGAGGAGTACAGAGTATCATCCATGTCTTAATTCAATTCGCAGAGCAATTAAAAGTTAGATCGAACCGATTCGAAATTTAAGAACAGAGAATTGAAGACGAAGAAGGAGAAGAAGAAGTACCGAAAAGTAGAGCGTCGAATGGAGAATACGAATGGCGAGATGATTTGCAGAGAGAATCCATTTTCTGTTATTCAATTGAAGGGCTTTTTAGTACAGGGAGAGGAGAGGGGAGGGGAGAAGTATATATAAGGGCAAAGAAGGGATAAATAAGATAAGCGTTTTGAATTGTTGCTGACTCGGACGTGAGAGCCGAGTTTTCCGCTGAAAGCTCAACGGAGTACAAGTCGTGGGCCCTGCGTGCTTTTAATTGGCTGAAAGACGAATATGCCCCAGCCTTTCACTGATTGACACGTTGCGGAAATCTTACGCGATTTGGTGGCAAGCGGAATGAACTTATCCAAAACCAAAACTCGCTGATGAGAAGGTACGAACTACAAAATCTATTACTATCAATTTTGAGAACGGAGCATTGAAAAAGTTTTTAATAAATGAGAGTCATGCGTTGACACAAGAAACTAGTGTCAATAGAATTTTGCCGTAATTGGAAAGATTTAAAAGGTGCAAAGGAAATATCAAAATTCACTGAATAGAACATCACTCAAAAAATAGAAATACCGAATTGCTCATGAGTTTATCGAATCGAGCTTTAGTCTACTCAAATAAGCTAGCTATTCAGAATATATATGAGGTGAACTCGATCTTGATCGAGTCAGACTTTTCTAAATTTGAGTTTTGACGAGCATTGATCAAACTGACCTCAAACGCTTTGTGAGCCGGCTAAGCTCTATCACCCGCCCCCTAGTATGAAGACAAATCTATCCCTTCAGGAGTGGAATTAATTCCTAAAGTGTTTTCTCTCGTTTTGTTCTGCGATGTTCGACTGAATAAAGTTTCAATATTTCTTCGTCTCAAAATCTCTTTGATGTTTTGACATCTACGGAGTATAAAATTTAAGGTAGAAATGTTTTTGCATTGACTTACCAAAAAACTCTAGATGTAAAGATTAAAATAAAATGTGATGAATAGATAATTAGCAAATTGATATGATTTGATGCATAGATATAGTAAAAATTAGTAAAAATAAAAATGATCTTTCAATACTTCCTAAGAAGGAGAAATACATCCAATTCAAGCAATGCAAGGAAAAAAAGAAATGTGAATGACATTTTGGAACGGAGAGAGTAGTTATATATAATTAAGTGCATTATTGAAAAACAAAAACTACTCCATATTTAATTTTTCCTATAATTGCATCAAATGTTTTACAAAATAAAACGTAACACGACTAAATTAAATTATTCAAACATATGATTGATACATGTATGTGAAGGAAAGATTTTAATTTAGAAAAATGAAAGTAAAGCATACGCAGAAGAATGAGATACATAGGGACGGGTATTATCTAGCTAAGCAAGGGATTTCTATCAAAGAAGTTGGCCGGCCTTAGCTCAAACTCAACGGAGACTATTGGCATCACCGGAAAATCTTCTTGCACAGGTACGTGGTGGAACCCCAGAGTGTACCACAACACTATATCTTTGTTTTCAATTGACCTATTCCTGCAAATCAATTAATCACCAATAATAATAAAAAATTAAGTTCAAGTGCTTCCACCGTTAGTCTTTCAAGTTAATACATGAAAAAAGGCTAAAGTGAAATTAAAGTAAAACATTATAAATATACGCAAATAAGAGTTTCATATTTTTATTCCTGAAATAGGAGTTAAAATATATATAGAGTATCAATCATGACAATATACATTACTAAAAAAATATTGTGAAAATGTTCATATAAAACTACTGCTGCATTACCACAGTCCACAGTACAAAGTACAAACTCATATTTCAAAACAAAAATATGGAACTCGTATCTTGTTATTTTCTCTATATTTTACTCATATTAGGTTCATTTCTTTTAATATATTATGCATAATTAGTGATTTAACTTTAAAAATTCTAGGGGTAGTCATTCAAATCTCTATACCTTGCATGATTGGTCATTTCGTTAACCTATCTATCTGTATAATACTCCCTCCGTTTCATAAAACGGTTCATATTTTTATATTTAGGAGAAATAAGAAGTGAATATTTGTTGTTGACTTTCCAATTGTACTGTATCTTTGATGTGATGGTTAAAATAAGATGTGATGAATAGATTATCAATGAAAAAAGTACTCCCTCCGTCCCATGAAACATGAGATTTTTGCTTTTTAGGAGGGATTTAAGGGGAGTGTATTTTGGTATTGAATTTTCAAAAATGTCCTTTGATGTGATGGGTAAATTAAAAAAAGAAAGGAGAAAGGTTTCATGGGACGGAGGGAGTATAATATATGTGATAGATAGAGTAAGATAAAATATGAGTAAAAGTCATTTTTTAATAAAATTGAAAGTCTTGAGCAAAATGAAAAAACAAAAGAGGATGTGTTTTAAGAAAGGAAGAGACTAGCTATTAACACATGCTGCATGCATGCAATATATGCATGGAAAGAATAGCTACTCGATCACGTACGTACCTTTGGGTCCAAACGGCCAACCCATCGTCTCCATGGCTCTGGTCCGTATAAAATCCACCGGGCCACTTCTCCGACCGGTTGTACGGAGTCACCCAAACTTGGTACTTAGTATACGCCGCCCGGATCTGCGGATAATCTTCGTCCAACAGCAAAGAATACGCCGGCGACGGTCCGGTAATCAGTTTGTACCCCACCTGGTTTCCCAAGCTAGTGTTCTTGCTCGGGTTCACGAACCGCAACTCCGTAGGCTCGGACCCGAGCCTGACCCTAGCATCGGATTCTCCTTTTACTGTCCTATTGACCACTGTCCAGTAGCTTTTCCTAGGGGACTCCGATGAGTTCGCTCTCCGAGTCACCAAATCGGACTTTACGAACGAATTATTGCCGCCGTCGATGTCTAAATCGAGGTGGTACGTGACGAAGTGGTCGTGGTTGTCGGCCACCGTGTTTTCCGAGACCAAGGTCCCGTAAACGTCCGCTTGGATCTGGTGAGTGTTGGCGTAGGGCACTGCCCTCAACTGGAGGACGCCTGATAGACTTACCTGCAGCATGCAGCAACCAGCATGCATCCATGCATGGTAAAAAGGGTAAATTACCTTTGGGAGATAAGAGATTTCCATGAAATATAATGAGAGTTGTATTGGCAGGAGATGAGGTTTAATTTACCCCCATTTTAATGGAACCGCTTTGTTTGAACTCCCAATCAATGGTATAGTCGTAATTTCCAACTGTTGCCACCATTCTTACCACCAGGTTGACCTCTTCTTGCCCACTAGTGACCTACAAAAAAACACAACATATTTATCTCTGCCCCCAATGTTTTAAAAATCGGACCGCCACATATCGAATTGAAGAAATAAGTGTGTCACACCCGCACGGGTAGCCCAAGTGGCAAGCACTTGGTGAAGTTTGGAGAATGACCAAGGATCGAAACCTGGCAGCGACCGTTGTGGGGGCGACCACCTCTGAAAAATGGGGGGAGTCTCTGGTGCGCACTAGGATATGGTCTAGCTAAGTGTTGTGCTTGGGTCACCGTGATTTACCTCCTCTCACAATCCCGTCGGGTCGGGGGTGAGGGGCGTCCGGGATGAGCGATTTCACCTTTTGGAGAAGAAATAAGTGTGTCACAGGTTAAATGATTGGACTGTTTGAACTAGATCAACGACATAGTCAACATACATATATTATCTCTACTAGTTAATGTGTTTCTATAAATTACGGAGAATGTAACATTTAAGATTTAAAAAAATATCAAAAAAATATTGAATGATACAGTATTAGGTTATAATAGTAGTATTTTTTCTCGAGTTTTTCAAGATAACAATAGTTTTTTATCTATTTTTAATCACAAGGTCAATAGTAGTATTTTTTTTCTCGAGAATGCACACATTAATCTCGAGAATGCACACATTAATACTACAAGGTCAATAGTAGTATAATTTTTATTTTATAATAGTAGTACTCCCTCCGTCCCAAAAAGTTTGTTACGTTTAGAAAAAACTGTGTCCCGTAAAGTCCGTTACATTTCTATTAAAAAACCACTTTTACCCCTTACTTTTTCATACCATACCTATCACATCATAACTTTTTCCTAATAATCTACCCATCACATCCTACTTTTACCCATCACATCAAGGGTATTTTTGGAAAGTCAATACCAAAATATTCCTCCCTTAATTTCCCAAAAAGTAAAACTGTCTCATTCTTTTTGGGACGGAGGGAGTATATTTTTGTGAAATTTGCACTAAATAGGACTAAAACATAATGATTTTCCTAATGTAGGACTTAAACTTTTTTATTCCCAAAATAGGACTTAATAATGACCTAGTGGAAGGAATAGTGTCTAGTAATGATGGACATTTAGTTGAATAATGATTACCCAAAAGTCCTACATTGGAAAATAAAAACATATGGTCCTATATTGGGAAAGTCATTATGTTTTAGTCCTATTTAATTAAATTTCTCTATATTTTTCTCGAGAATGCACACATTAATCACTTTCTTTAATTACAAGGTCAATTTTTAATCAAATTCTTTACTCATTTTCGTTACTCATTTGGTAAATGAAATAATATTGTCATGTCATATCTTATTTTATATAACTTTTGATTTATTTTTTAAATATAGAAATTTTAGTTTTTAATTCTATTCCAATTTTCATATGAATCTACTTGAAAGTAACTTCAGCCAAAAATCGTGAAAAACCACATGCAACTTAAAATGGGATATATGGAGTAGATTGCAAGATCACAAATATGTTGGTATCAAAGTCATCCTACGATTTTTTGAAATACTTCCTCTTTCATTTTTACGATTTAATTTCAACAAAAATGCTTCAACTTTTGAAATAAATAACTTATAGATCTAAATAAAGTTATTCAGATATAATATACTCCCTCCGTTCTCAAAAACATTTCCTCTTTCATTTTTTCCACGTCCAACAAAACACTTCCACTTTGTATTAAAAAATCACTTTTACTCCTATCTTTTCATACCCTACCTATCACATCATTTTTTCCTCTAATAATCTATCCATCACATCTTACTTTTACTCATCACATCAGGGGTGAAATTGAAAGTTAATTATGATTTAACACTTACTTATTCTGGCTCCAAGTCAAACTAGGAAGCTTTTCTTAAAACGGAAGGAGTATCTATTTTGCATTGAAAAAATTAGTTAATTAAGTGATTTATCTCTCTTTTGTCTTCAACGCTAGCTAAGAATATAAATAAAAAAAATCAAATTACAAGAATAAATTGACCTAAAGTCAAAATAGCTCACAAGCTCAAAACCAGTGTTTTGAAGACCGGACCGGACCGGCCGGTCCAACCGGTCAACCCGCAAACCGGCATCATATCCGGTCCGGTTCAATGAAGAAACCCGTTCCCCTTTTGACCCGCCCAAACCCGCCGGAACCGGTGAACCGGGTGAACCGGGTCGACCCGTCCGGTTCCCGGGTTTGGGCTTAAATCTATATTTTAATTTTTTTTGAAACAAAAGCAATTCATTAAACATTCAAAAAAGGACCAAGAAAGTTTGGTGGGTTAAACTCCCACGTATCAACACAACTCTCAACCTGTCTAGCCAGTAAATGAGCCAAAACATTCTCAGAACAAGTTGTTTCCAAGTGAGCTACTTGAACTTTGTTCACAATCTAGGTATCCTATGCTTTTATTGTTTTACGAAAGGTTCATACAAAAATAAATATGTACTAGGGGTACTTTTTTTGTGCTAAGTGTGAATTTGTATTTATGAACTTTTAAAATAGTTTTAAAAATTGAGAATTATTTAATTTTTATTTGAAAATAAATATACTCTATATATTTTATAATTAAAAAATTGTTGTCTTTAAAAATCAAGTAATATTTATTAATATAATTTAATATGCTATATTTTTTACTTTTCAATCATTTTAACCAACTAAATATTAACTTTAAAATGTCATATGTATATAAGAATAAAATATATAGTCTTAAATTTTTGAGAATATGAGTATCACCTCATTATTTAAGTATTTGTTAAAGATTCAATATTAACTTTTGATAATAATAAAAATAATAAAATAAAAATAGAAGGTGTGAAATATCATATGTACAAGGATATTAAAAAATAGATGGAGAAATAATAACATACATTAAAATATTTTATTAACTAAAAATATTTAATATATTATAAAATATTATTATTATAAATATAGTTGACCGAGTCGTTGACCCCCAGTTAGACCGGTTCGACCGGTCAACCCTTGACCCACTACCTCGTCCGAGTCGACGTCCGGTCCGGTTTTCAAAACATTGCTCAAAACTACTTCCTATAGCATTATTATATCCCAACCAGATTTTCATATCATCAATCTGCGACCAAGGTCTCATTTAATTAGGTCTTCTCAATGATCGATTGGCGTCCGACCGACGGTGAGATACTTGAGGGGATGGGCTGATCTCCTTTTATATTAAATTAAATTCCCATCATATCAAAATGTACTTTATTTATTCAAAGTTTGTGATATTTAACCCAATGAGAGAAAAATTGAAAGAAAGTTAAAAGGTTAATTACCAGTCTCCCGAGGACTCCGGGGTTTGTATGTCTCCAAGAAACCTGTCCCGTTGAACGTTCAAACACACAAATGGCGTTTGACACCAGCACCGCCTGCCCATCCGCTCCGGCCATATTTCCGTCCATGTAAACGGCGTCAGCCGGGCAGTCAAACGACGGGACAAGGGAGCTGGCAGACACCCCAAACCCATACTCCCCCACATCCATATACGTCTTATAATACTCCTCCGCCGTGGGGTCCATGTACGGCACGAACGTCTCCGCCACATAGCCTCTGTACAGCACGCGCCGCCTCGGGCCCTGTTTCGCTCGGTCGGAGATGGACGCCGTCGATATCACCACGCCGGCACGCGCGTTGAAGGCGACGTGGAATTCCCAGTTCTTCCACCTCACCACGTTCCCGTTCAGGTCAACGTTCGGTTTGGTCCCGTTGACTGCCGCCCCCGTTGAATCTTGCGCGTTTGATGATTCGAAGTCCGTGTTTTCCGCCGTCGGCAACGGGAGTTGTCCTCGGTCCACGTACTCAACCATTTGCATTGTCTCCACGTCGACTAACGCCGTTATACCGGCGATCGGCCTGCTCCAGAAATTTGTGGTACCCTCCCGGGAATAGCAGGAACTCTTCAGAACTCTTCTCCTTCTATGCTCTCCAAAAAAACCTAGAAAATGAATTTGAGCATATAAACTAACCCAAGAATAACCCTGATTTTGTGTTAGATACTCATTCAATTTCTTCCAAAACATTTTTCTACTTTTCTACTCCCTAGTCCTAAAAACATGGAGTTATTGATTTTAAGAAATTTAAGGGAAGTATATTTTAATACTGAATTTCCAAAAAAAAGTCTTTTGATGTGATGGATAAAACAAGAATTTGATGGATAGATTATTAGTAAAAAGATATAATGTGATAAGTAAGGTATTAAAAAGTATGGAGTAAAAGTTATTGTTTAATAGAAATAAGAAGTATTTTTTGGAACGGATGAAAAAAAAAGAAAGGAGAAAGGTTTTCAGGAACGGGGGAATATATACATTTTTCTTCTACTTATAAAAACACTTTCACTACATACTCTAATCTATTTAATTTCTTAGATCTCAAAGTATTTGTTTATTTCTCTCGAAATGTTTGTCCAGTCTTGATTTTTACAGTTTATTAGTTTACAATATATACGTCACTATAAAAACATATATTTGCCCAGTCTTGATTTTTGGACATTGAACAGTGGTATTACATTGGAAATAAAAACATATATTACTACATTGGGAAAGTCACTATGGTTAATGTTTATCGAATTTGACAGTAAAAATCAAACTTACATAAGTACGTCGGGAAGGTAATATATGGAAAAAATAAAAAGACATAATGTTGATCAATACCTGCTGTGACTGGTATACAAGTGACTAGTGATATATTCAGCCCTCGGCTCAAAATAGATTTTTGAAATGCGGGAAACCCCTTGGTAAACAAGCTCGCTTTCACAATTTCATCTTGAGTAAATGGAGGAAAACCGAACCCGCCATACTTTGTATTCGATATGATAGAGTTCCCGATCAAGTCTACGATGACTTCTCGAGTCTCGCCATCTGCCCTCACCACTGCCCTAGCTTTCCTATAGGGGAAAGACTGGTTTGTGGATAACCAGAAGACCACGTCGTTCTTTTCTGGTTCTTCGAGATCAACGAAATGAAATGTCAAGTTATTAGGGAGTGACACAATGGTGGAGTTGAGAATGATGTCTCTAGTTTTGTTGATCTCGATGGGGTTTAGAGGGTCCAAAGGATGAGACATACTTAGTTGTCTAGTAAAAGTAACTATAACCAAAACAAAGATTTTGAGAGAGATTGATGATGATAATGAGAGTGTTCTTAGCATTTGTTTTGCCATCTTCAATTCTTGACAATGAAATAGTTGTCTTTGAGTGGGGAGGAATTGTGAGAAGGTTTGCCCGGCATTATATTTGGAATTTGGTGCCGTGATCGGCTCCTAATGGTTTTCTTTTTCTTCTTTTGAACTGGCCGTAAAGAAGAAAAAAAAAGTAAAATCCTTTTTTTTTTGAAATAGTTTCGTTATGAGCACGGAACAAATTGGATGGAAACTTCTACTACTAAAACACTTCGAGAAAACGTTGAAAATTCTTCGATTTTCTCAAGTTCATACTTATTTTATGAATCGTAAATTATTCGTAATCATAAAATGATTAGTTGTACTGAGTCTTGTAAACAAAAAAACAAGTATATATACACTCATAAAAAATATGTGAAGAGATTCACAATTCATATATGGAGCTTAGAACCATATATTAGAGCATAACTCAAAAAACGTAAAATAAAAATGACAGTAGATATTGATACAGAAATAGTTTTATTAGATTTATTTTTTAATTTTTTTCTAAATTTTATTTTATTTAATCGGTATGTATATCATATACTCCCTCCGTTTGGAAAAAGTGTTCCTATTTTGACTTTGTGTAAAAATAAGGAAGTATTAAATTATAGTTGACTTCCAATTTTGCCCTTGATGTGATATGTAAAAGTAAGATGTGATGGATAGATTATTAGAGATAAAGTATGATGTGATAGGTAGGGTATGAAAAAGTAAGGGTAAAAGTGGTTTTTTAATAGAAAGTGGAAGTGTTTTGTTGGAAGTGAAAAAAATGAAAGAGGAAGTGCTTTAAAAAATGAAAGGAGTATTTTATTTAGTTATAGAGCAAATATTAAAAACGATTGACTGCAGAAAGTTAAAACTCTACAAATGCTAATATGGATAACCGATATGATGTAGTATTTGATAATAATCTAAAGAAATTTATTACTCCGTAGTTTAAGTACCTTTGTCATAGAATATTTATCTGCAGTTTAGTCAGAAGCTTTCGTGCATTCATACACCTTTTTTGCCTACAAAGGAGCTCTGATCTATCATGGTTGAAAATTAGGGTTTTCATGAAATAGTGCTCCGGTCAGCCATGACACCGTCGTTTGGTGCAATTATTAAAGATTGCAAATTTCTTTCCGCTTGTTTTTTATTTTATCTTTCTTATTTTAATTTTTCTTCATCTTACCGTTGTTGCGGTAAAATATTTCACTTAATTGAAGTCATTTCTTTAAGAAAAATTGTACTAAATATTGATATAAGAAAAATTTTATTAGATTTAATTTATCTTGTGAAAATATTTTGAAAATCTTATTTTGTTTAATTAATATACAATGTACGAGTAATTTCTTTTATAAGTTAAAGATCAATATTGATTGACCGTAAAAAGTTAGAAATATATATATATAAGCCAATACTCCCACTGTCCTAAAACTAACTTTTGCATTTTAGAATATTTGATTGAAGTTAGTTTCAATTCAAGTTTTTTTAAAAAAAAATTAGTAAAATTTAAAAATGGAAATTATATGCTCCATCCGTCCCAAAAAGTCATTTACGTTTCGAAAAATTTGCGTCCTTAAAGTCCTTTCCATTTCTATTAAAAAATCATTTTTACCCCTTACTTTTTCATACCCTACCTATCACATCATACCTTTTTCCTAATAATCTACCCATCACATCAAGAGTATTTTTGGAAAGTCAACACCAAAATATCCTTCCTTATTTTACCAATTTAGTCAAAATGTACCAATCTTTTAGGACGAAAGGAGTATTAAAAAATCATATCAAAAGATCTATGAAACAAGAGCCGGCCTTATTTTATTATGGTAACAAAAATAAGCTAACAAAATATATAGAATTTAACATATATACTCCATCCATCCTAATATAAGGTGTCTGTTTTGATTTATGATATTTGACTAAAGTTATTTTCAAATTATATTATATGAAAAATGGTGTAGAAGTAAAAAAAATAAAAATTACATATTTAAAAACTACATCAAAAGATCTACAAAACTAATGCTGACATGACTATATTATTTTATTAAATGACTAATGAAAATAGAAAAATAAGACAATAAAGTTTAACGATGTGAATAGTAAATATGCAATTTAATTTGGGACGGAGAGGTAGTAAATAGTGTGGGAGAACATAGTTTTAGCATGGAAAAAAACTAAATTAGGAATAAAAAATTGAAAATATACCAAAATATGAGTTAAAATATATTTACAATACTAATCACGATCATATATATTACAAAAAAGTATGGTGAATTATTCAGATCCAGTGCCACATCGTCACATTACCACAATGCAAATATCAATTTTAGAGATAAAAACATGAAACTTTTATTTTGGTACTTAACTATATTTTTTATTCCGATTAAGAGTAAATTCTTTTTTAGCACGGAGAGAGTAATAATTTTGGTAATAGATAAACTATGATACAGATTATAAAATATAGATAAATTTAATTTTCAAAGAATTGACTTGTGCGGCCAAACACGAGATCTCTAATAAATGATGGACTAATATTCACTCGTTTAGGCCCAATATCTTTGGACTTGATGCTCCACTAAGAAGTTAGATACTAGTCTTAGAGTTAGGCCCGACCCTTCCTGCTCTTAAGTGATTGTCTAAGGCCTCCAGGAGGGCCTCATTAGACACAAAACTAAAGCAGGCCGACCGTCGGCCCAATTATTGCATTGGCCACGGCAGATCACGTACCCAAATCAGGGCCCCAGTCTCTAAATCGGGTTATGTGTGAATATAATGAATAAAACCACTTATTTTAACTCAGTATAATTGTTTAAAGATGTGTCCTTGATTTATGTATTTTGACAAGTTAATTTTTTTTGTTTACTAATCACATGGTTAAAATTTATTCATCTTCTTTTCCTATTTTTAGTAGTTATTTGATAAAAATAATATAATCACGTCATCAATAGTTTTGTAAATCTTTTGATATAGTTTTTAATATATAAATTTTATTTTTTAATTCTATATCAATTTACATATACAATGATTTGAAAATAAATTCAGTCAAATATCGTAAATCAAACCAGACAATTAAAATTAGGACATACAATTAAAATTAAGACGGAGAGAGTACAATATTATATACTTTGTACTTTTAACCTCTAGCCTCTTATTTTAAAGAGGTGTAAGGAGAACTTCTCCACTCGCTTGAGTTGTTGGATGCCCACTTCTAAGGATTCATGGGGAAATTCATCCAAGTTTGAGTCCCAGCGGAGGCAGAAGCACTAAATATTTGTGCGTCTTTAGGTTAAGAATAATATTAACATATATCACATTGTAATATAGTCAATAGCATTAAAAAAAGTTGCCCTCTTTCCAAAAATAAAGCTCTGTTTAATTTACAATATTTGAATAAAATTATTTTAAAATTAATATAAGTAAAAATTGGTGTAGAAAAAATAAAAATCATATTTTAAAAAACTACATCAAAAGTTTTACAATTTTGGTCAAAAATTAAATTGCTTATTTAATATTCACATGGTCAAACTTTACTCACTTTATGTCCTTATTTTCGTTACTTCCTTGATAAAATAATATTGTCATGTCATCTTTTATTTCGTATACCTTTTGATGTACTCCTAGTTTTTAATATGTAAATTTTATGTTTTGATTTCTCTACAATACTGTAATAAGTTGTATTGAAAAATAATTTAGTCATACATCGTAAACGAAACATGCAATTTAAATTAGGACGGAGAGAGTGTGCAAAACAAGAAGAGACAAAATTATTTTATTTAATTAAATGATCGAGGAAAATAAATAAGGAAATTATAGTTAGTTTGACATGTTTTCTATTTATTTCCATTTTTGGATTTTAGTAAAAAAGTTTGTTTATTTCTTGTTTTTTTATTTTCATATGGTGCTTAAACGTTAAACTCACCATTCTGTATATTTTTAGATTTATTTCTCATCAGTTTGAATTTTGTTTCTATTAATTACGAGTATATTTTTATATTCTATTAATTTTGTATAATTTTAATCGTTTTTCTCGTTTTCATTATTTTTATTTCTATTTTTTAATACTGGTGTTAACCCCGTGCTTCGCACGGGCTCGTATATAGTCTAAATTTTTGAGATTGTATATATATAATATTAGTTATTTTAGTTTCCTAATAGTGACAAAATATGTTTTAAACTTGTGGAATTTATATATTATATATTTTATTTAATTATAAGTCAAAGGTTGAAAACGGTTGACTGGAAAAAATCAAAACTGGATTAATACTCTAGGACGGAGGTAGTAATATTTTTCTTGATTAAAGAGAATATATTTTGAACATGATTTTTTATATTATAGACATCAATTACAATACGATCATTATTTTAAAGAATTTACGCTAGTACCTATAATTTCTTCTCTCAAAGTTCTGGGTAAAACTGGAAGAATTTGACAAAAATAACCTCTAGGTACCATTGTTTTCCATCTAAATGGTTCATTTATGAAGCTATTACTAAAAAAAACTCCGTTACATCTTTCATTGTTGCATGATCCAATGCCTCCAAAGCAAATCTATTATACATACATGCTTCATCCCTAATGATTAGATCTGTTTGTTCGATTAGTTTTACTTTCAGACTTCTTTGTTTAATGCACATATTGAGCACTCGGTTAGCACCGAAGTTAATACGAATTTTGGGTGTGATTACGTTCCATCAGGAAAAAACAATGTTGCAATACCCCTTGATACAACATTCAAAACAACCTTATCATTTGATCTTAAATAGACCGACATTGATTTCGAGAGGATTGTATTTCTCGTTCCTCTGTAACCGTACACAAAAAAGCTCGTCTTTCATGTGCCATGACTTCCATTATTTCGCCGTATATCTTCCCTTGATCTTCATTCATTGTAGATAAATTATACGGTGTATATCTCCTAAGATCATATGACAACTTTTCTTTGTCATAGTTCAATTTTTCAACCAACAAATTATTTTGAAATCTATTGGTGGACTGTATTTAATAGCATGGCACAAAATTTTTTTAAAGACTCTCTATTTGAATTATGAAACTTTTCAATCTCAACCAAAAAATAAATTATTTAGGTCTCCTCATGAGATAAGAAGTTTTGCATAAAAAATGAAATTTGTGTCAATTGTTAAAATTTTCTTCAACTTTTTAAGATTATATTGTTTTGGATTCTAATTCTTAGGATCTGTTTGGTTAAAAGAAAAATATTTTTTTAGAATATTCCAACTCTACTTTTTCCATGTTAGGTTACATAAGTAGTAGGAAATTA